CCCTAAAAAACAATACTAGTACTACTTTCTCTCTCTACAAAAACCTCTCCTTTCCATCTACGTCCACTGCAAAAATATATATATGAGTGATGATGCGTTGATCTCCTCACATGGCATGTTTAAGTGTCACATCTATTGGAATATAAAGTGAGATTTAATGGTCCATGTGCTCCAGCGACGGTGGACAGTCAAGCGGGTCCACCTCGGGCGTAAAACACGGAGAGGCGATTGCGAGGCGATCGGCTCGATAGCTAGGGTTAGGGTTTTGCGGCCGGTGGTGCTGAGGATCGCGACGGTACGGGAGGAGGCGACGGCGTCTCCAAGCGTGACTGAGCCGGCGTGCAGTTCTCTCTCCGGTCAAGAAGACATGGAGGAGAGGAAGAATGAAGGTGTTGCGGCAGCGAGGGATCCAACAGCTGCTCACAGGACGGCGGCGGCGGTAGGGGCGAAGACACAAAATCCGACGGCTACACCGCGGCCGCTGGTGCAAAGGGAGACGATAGACACTGCGATGCGGACGCCACTGGGCTCCCATAGCAGGAACTCCTCGGTGTCCCCGGGCTTGACGGCTCGGCTGGGAGTCCTGGTACTGACGGAGAAGGAAGCGCAGGGTTTTGTCTTCAAGGAATCGGACCAGGAACATGTCCGGCCAGCAAGGTGGTTGGCGATCGGGAAAGCTTTTACACCCAGGCCGATCAATAAGAGTGCTTTGGAGAAATCCATGGCAAGGGCCTGGGGTCTTCACAGAGAAGCACAGTTCAAGATCATAGGAAGAAATCTCTTTGTGGTAACTTTCGGTAGTGAAGGAGATTGGAGACATGCTTTGAACAATGGCCCATGGTAGTTTGATTTTAATGTGTTAGTGCTCAAGGACTATGATGGAGTAACTAGGCCATCCGAGATGACGTTTGAAGCTGTGGATGTTTGGGTCCGGGTTGAGGATTTGCCTTTAGACAAGAGATCAAAAGCTTTCGGAGAAGGACTTGGGAATTGGCTGGGCAAAGTGGTGAGGGTGGATGTGGAGAAGGATGGATTTGCAAAGGGGTCGGAGCTGCGTTTCAGAGTCAAATTACCTGTCATTGAGCCTCTTGTAAGGGGTTTTTATCTAAAGAAATCTGAGGATGACCTGGAGAAGACTTGGTTCGACTTCAAATATGAAAAGATACCGCATTTTTGTTTTGATTGTGAAAGACTGGTTCATGGTGCAGGTGGTTGTGTCCCGGCCGTGGATCCTGAACAGCAGTGGGGCGAATGGCTAAGGGCATCCCCAGGTTGCTCGATGGAGCACAAAGAGGGATCGTTCCGTGGCCCGTCAGGAAGCGCCAACAGCTTCGGAAGTGTGAGATCTAGTGAAGGCGAAAGGAATAGCAGGAAGACAGGTACTGTACGTGATCTTCCCACAAAGCGTAACCTGCACAATGAGTTTACTACACCGGACGCTTCCCGCACTGGTGGGGATGGCAAGGGGGAGGGAAGGATGGCAACAACTCCAATAAGCAGAATCAAGAAGAAGAGGTATTGAGGGAGAGAGATTTGCGGGATGATCTAGAGCAGAAGAGGGAGAGGGAGATGCGCTCAAAGTTAAGACAGCGACAACAGGAGAAGCAGGCTGAGTTAAGGTACAAATACATGCAGTACGGTCAATGGGATCATGATGGTGCGGGATCATCAAGCCAATTCGGGGGGAAAGAGCGGAGACACGGTTACTATGTTCGCAAGCCCAGGCCAGAGTATACGGCAGTGCAGTGTTCTACGAGTAGTCCAAGACATGAGCCCCAGAGAGAGAGAAAGAGGAGGCCAAGGTAGTATTGGGTGGCTAAAGGTGAGGGTGATAAGCAGGAAGGACATGATACATTCGTTCACGATATGAGGCAGAAAACCTCGTCCGTGTTTGATCGTATTGAGGAGCACAATGATACATCGGCGGACCCTGTGAGGCAGGGCCGCCGGGCACAATGAGTCTATTGGCCTGGAACTATCGAGGACTGGGGTTGGACTCGACAGTTGGCGAGCTTAGAGACCCGATACGGTCATACAACCCAGCGATGGTGTTCTTATCGGAGACAAAAAATAGTGCAAAATCAATGGAGAGGCTCAAGTGGAGTCTAGGGTTTAGGCAAGGAGTAGCGGTGGATTGTGTAGGGAAGAGTGGTGGTTTGGCTTTATGGTGGAGAGATCTGTTGGAAATATGCCCTAGAGGCAATAATAAAATGGTTATTATTGTATTTCCTTCTTCATGATAATTGTCTATTATTCATGCTATAATTGTATTGACCGGAAACCGCAATACATGTGTGAATACATAGACCACAACATGTCCCTAGTGAGCCTCTAGTTGACTAGCTCGTTGATCAATAGATGGTCATGGTTTCCTGACCGTGGACATTGGATGTCATTGATAACGGGATTACATCATTAGGAGAATGATGTGATGGACAAGACCCAATCCTAAGCATAGCACAAGATCGTGTAGTTCGTTTGCTAAAGCTTTTCTAATGTCAAGTATCATTTCCTTAGACCATGAGATTGTGTAAATCCCTGGTACCGTAGGAGTACTTTGGGTGTACCAAACGTCACAATGTAACTGGGTGGCTATAAAGGTGCACTACAGGTATCTCCGAAAGTGTCTGTTGGGTTGGCACGAATCGAGACTGGGATTTGTCACTCCGTATGATGGAGAGGTATCTCTGGGCCCACTTGGTAATGCATCATCATAATGAGCTCAATGTGACTAAGTAGTTAGTCACGGGATCATGCATTACGGAATGAGTAAAGTGACTTGCCGGTAACGAGATTGAACAAGGTATTGGGATACCGACGATCGAATCTCGGGCGAGTAACATACCGATTGACAAAGGGAATTGCATACGAGATTGCTTGAATCCTTGACATCGTGGTTCATCCGATGAGATCATCGTGGAACATGTGGGAGCCAACATGGGTATCCAGATCCCGCTATTGGTTATTGACCGGCGAACGTCTCGGTCATGTCTGCATGGTTCCCGAACCCGTAGGGTCTACACACTTAAGGTTCGGTGACGCTAGAGTTGTTATGGGAAATAGTATGTGGTTACCGAAGGTTGTTCGGAGTCCCGGATGAGATCCAAGACATGACGAGGAGCTCCGGAATGGTCTGGAGGTGAAGATCGGTATATTGGACGAAGGGTATTGGAGTCCGGAATTGTTCCGGGGGTACCAGGTGATGACCAGTGTGTCCGAAAGGGGTTTCAAAGGCCCCGGCAAGCGTTGGGGGGCCTTATGGGCCAAGGGGAGAGGGCCAATCAGCCCACTAAGGGGCTGACCGCCCCTCCCACCCCATCTCACGTAACCAGGAGAGGTGGGGGCGCCACCCCTAGGGCAGCCGCCCCTCCCGGCTTGGGGGCAAGTTTCCTAGGGGGTGGGGGCGCCAAAACCCATCTAGGGTTTCCCCTATGGCCACCGCCCCTCCCCTAGGGAACCCTAGGGCGCCTCCCCCTCCTCCCTTCCCCCTATATATAGTGAGGGGGAGAGAGGGCAGCTGCACCCTTCCCCTGGCGCAGCCCTCTCCCTCCTCCAACACCTCCTCCTCCTCCGTAGTGCTTGGCGAAGCCCTGCCGGAGAACCACAAGCTCCATCACCACCATGCCGTCGTGCTGTCGGAGTTCTCCCTCAACTTCTCCTCTCCCTTGCCGGATCAACAAGGAGGAGACGTCCCCGGGCTGTACGTGTGTTGAACGCGGAGGCACCGTTGTTCGGTGCTTAGATCGAATTCGACCGCGATCTGAATCGCTTCGTGAACGACTCCACCGACCGCGTTCTTGTAACGCTTCCGCTTAGCGATCTTCAAGGGTATGAATATGCACTCTCTCTCTCTCTCTCGTTGCTAGTCTCTCCATAGATTGATCTTGGTGATGCATAGAAAATTTTGAATTTCTGCTACGTTCCCCAACAGTGGCATCAAGAGCTAGGTCTATTGCGTAGATTCTATGCATGAGTAGAACACAAGTTGTTGTGGGCGTTTATTTTGTTCAATATGCTTACCGTTACTAGTCCTATCTTATTTCGACGGTATTGTGGGATGAAGCGGCCCGGACCGACCTTACACGTACACTTACGTGAGACCGGTTCCACTGACTGACATGCACTTGTTTCATAAGGTAGCTAGCGGGTGCCAGTCTCTCCCACTTTAGTCGGATCGGATTCGATGAAAAGGGTCCTTATGAAGGGTAAATAGCAATTAGCATATCACGTTGTGGTTTTGGCATAGGTAAGAAACGTTCTTGCTAGAAACCTATAGCAGCCACGTAAAAACTTGCAACAACAAATTAGAGGACGTCTAACTTGTTTTTGCAGCATATGCCGCGTGATGTGATATGGCCAAGAAGGATGTGATGAACGAAATATATGTGATGTATGAGCTTGATCATATTCTTGTAATAGGAATCACGACTTGAAT